GGGACAGGTAACGTGTGTGGGCACGGCATGCACTGAGTGCATGGGAGGGATCTGTCTGTCCCTTAGCTCATTTTATCGAACCTGTCAGCTCTTCTGTGTTATCGACAGCCGTAGAACTTGAAGGAAAATAAATTTGTGGTCAAAGAGACTGCGGTTCTGTTAGGCGCTAGCGATGCCAGGAGTTCACACTTCATTTTGAACATCTGAGCAAAAGACTTTTCCTTCTGGCATTTTTAGGGCCATTTAAAATCAAAACTAACAGAAATGCACTTGCATTTCTTTCTGAAGGTGTTAGGGAACATTTGCTTACTCTGAAAGCTGGTGGATATAGTGAGGGAAGGGGCTCTTCCGTGCTTGTAATTTGGGCAGGTTGGCTTCACCAGGGAGCATGGCAAGCTTTTAGGAAGCAAGGCTTGGGGTACAAAGGGTTGTGAAGATCAGGTCGGACAAATTACCAAACACATCCTTTCTCCTGAAATTCTCCTGAATTACTTTAAAAAAAATAATATATTTTTTTTATGGAAAAAGGCTCCTTAATTGTAAGGACTTACCGTTGATTGAGCTCTCACCTGCTCAAGTTAGCTTGAGGGAAACTGGATGTCAGGCACTGCTTTTGTGCCTATGGGAAAGGGAGGGCTGCCATCAAGCTTCTTGTTCTGTGTGTTTCAGAGCGTGAATTAATGGCTTCTGTTGGAAGTGAAGTTTATTATTTCTCAGTTTAGCTGTATTCTGTTACCTGCTTTGGAGCAGGGAGGCAGGATGTTAGGGAAGCCCAGTGGAGTTGGGACGAGAAGTTCATCTTCAGGGCAGATTGCTAATTGTCGTGGCACAATTCCTTTATTTTAAGGTCAAGAGCAGGTAGGAATTAAAGTTAATTACAAAGTATTGGTCTGGGAGCCGAATGAGCAGCCAAAGAAAAGCCATATACTTGCACCTGCCCCTTTTGCTAAAGGCTCTGTTCTCTGCTCCTCCCCTCATGCTGTTACACACAGCTGTTGATCCATTTATGTCTTTAATTTTTGCAGCCTTGCTATAGTTTCATATAAAATCTGTGGCATTTGCAAACAGAAAACTATTAAATGAGGCTGACCAGAGTTATAGGGCTGAAGTTAAATCCTGTTTTTATCTGGGTAAGCATGGGCTTGCAGATTAGAGGAGTTTGTTTGGATCCACGTGAAACCCCTCTATGGACTCTGTACTTTTTCACATTTGTTTGTCTCTCTGCCTGTCAACGTGTGATTTTGAGAGAATTTTCTTCCTCTTGGACCATTCTATGTTAAAGAAATGGGGATATCTGTTTTTATAAAGCACTTTGCATACTGTGAAAGAAGGATGTTTTACAAATGCAAGCAGAGCTGGGCTTTTTCCGGACAAAACATTTCTCAATACTTCTGTGTGTGGGAACTAGGAAGTGTGACTTCAGTCTTAGTTCTGCAGCAAAATAAACTTCTAGCTTATGTTGAAGTTCAGAGAGAAATATCATAAATTTATCTTAATTGCCAGTAGCGCCTAGAGAAAATGTAATTTATTGTTGTCTCTAATGTCAGTTCAGTTGGATTTTCCTGTCTGAATACACTTGGGATTCTTTGTAAATTGTGTTATCTTATGAATACAACGTGATTAGTGAAGTGGTATCTTTAGCGTGCTGTAGGTCACCGTGTCACGTTCGACACAGAGGTGCTCAGCCACATGGAGAGGGATCAAATGTGCAGGCTGAGCCTCAGCTTGGTTTGATCCCTCTTTGGCTCAGCAGATTAAACACAAGGTGCTGTGCCATCGTGATCACAGACCCAGCTTTATTTCCAAATCTCTTACCAAAAAAAAATATAATAAAAGAGGATTGATCAAGATGACAGTTTTTCCCTTCTGCTCTCATCCACTTGTATCTGATTTTCAGGAGCTGTGCAGGTTATGCCACAAACACAAGCTAGGTGGTATTTAAGGAAACATAAGACAACTATTAATGTTAGCATGTGTGAGGCGGAGAACATGAAGAAGGCTTTTTCAGCATTGGATATTTCTGCTTTTAATTTTCAAAGTCCAGACTGATTATTTTTTTTTTTTTTGGAAGTGATTTTAAACATAGAAGAAATAGACTGGGCATGACAAATAAACAAAGAGCAGCCTGAAGAAGCAAAATGGTTCTCATTTTTGAAAAAATGTTCTTTTGCTGGCATCCAAGCATCCTATCGTGCTTTCTTTCTGTAACTAATATGCTGGTAGAAGAATGACTTTCCCTAAACCCCAAAGTAACCGCACTGCTTGGTGTGTCTTCCACAGTTGATTACTTTATGTGAATCCAGCAGTAAAAAGCTCTTTGGATGGAGTTTGTTCTCTCTTCTTCACAACATGCATTGCGCTGTCATCGTGCTTCTTTTTTCATTGCTCCCTAAAAACCAAGATCCGGTTCCACAGCCGGATGTTTTGTAGCTGTAGGAAAAAATAAATAAATGAAGAAGACATTTGGTGGAGGATAAACATAGTGCAACATCTGACGCAGATCCCATCACCTGGTTTGCCAACCCCAATCAGTTTGGCATAATATTAGTGGCAATGAGTCTGTCTTACGTGCCCACTTGCCTCCCATTCTTGAATACTGAATAGCCACAAATTGTTTTTTGTCCTTTCTCTAATTTATCAACATGTTTTTCTCAAGCTATACAACTGGAAGGCAAGCACAGTGCAGTGTATCTATCCCTGCTCTACTCTTGAATACAGTCAGATTTTATACTATAAAAGTGAGGTCTTTTAAAAAGTGCAGAGCATAAAAAGTGCAGAAGCTGGTTATAAGTTTTACCCCTCACTGTTGTAAAACGGTTTGTATACAAGAATGATGGGCTGGTTCAGTTGCTCATAGCCTTTCTGAGGTTTGTGCTTCAGAAATTAATGAGATAAAACACATTTTAAACCTGTTCAATGGGACAGACCGTGATGTGGTTCTGACAACACGTACCGTGGAGTTCCAAAGTAAACACTGTAGGACAAGAGAATTTTGCTTACTCCTGTGAAAACAAAACGTAGCATCCTTCTGCAGCTTGATGCTGTTCTATCTCAGAACACCCAAGATCCCTATAAAATGCTGACAACACCCCAAAGGTCGTTTATAGAGGTCACCTCTTTCTGCCTCCCACACTCCCAGGAGAAGTTCTGGTCTGCCCACTCCTTCATGGCCACCCACCCTCCGATCAGCTGAGAAATCATACTTTTAAGAAAAACTTTTGTTAAGTATGTTATTTTTGTTCTTTGTTCTCTTCCCTTCGTTTGAAAGACATCTTTTTATTGCTGTGGTTTGAATACCTTAGTTAAAAAAAAAATACACTGTTCACAGCATATGGAAACTGAATTTGTGTATTTCAGCTGGATTTTCAAAATAAGTTTTGGGACTTAATGTTGTTTACATACATGAGTTTCATTCTGATTTGCATTTTTAGGAATAAATTAAAATTAGTCTAATAACAATAATGTTTTTAAGCAAGTGGTTTTAGATGAATCAACTGTTCTTTGCTTGCTGGAGGTCATAGGGGACTTTCAGTCCTGACCAGTCCAAATGCAGATGTGGAGAGCACATGAGCTCACAGAGACCATGAGCGCTAATTAGCAGTAATTCATACATCTACACCTTCATGTGCGATAGGAATATAAACACTGCCGTAATAAATTGTCAAAAGTTGAATGCGTTTGGCTGTGAGAGTAAGTATCTTGGCTCCATGTCTGTATTTATGTAACAGTAAAAATATTATTCAGGAAGATGGTTGTGTGCTATTGACATTATCACACACTTAGTGCAACCTGCTCGGTCTATCCCACTTCGTATTTGCAATAATCATTAACAGAATTGTTAATCCTTCATCAGTTATCTTTTTCAACACCTACGAAGGCGTCATTTATCACGAGGGCAGTAACTGTAAAGCCTTTTGAAAGCCAGAGTTCCTAGATGTGAGCAGTTCGCCATAAAAATAGCCCAAAATGATTTGAGAAATCTTTTGAAATGTTTCCCAGCCGTAGGAGCACGGCATTTCCAGGCAAGGAGGCAGCACGTGCCTAAGCAAGCAAAACCGAGCAAGAAGCTCTTTTTTCCCCCAACAAACCTGCCTTCCACCCTTTGATCTTGATAACCTGAAGGTGCAAGGACGATAAAAATGAAGCCAGATGTGCCTTTTTTTTTTCCCCCTTGCTTTCTATCATCGTAAAACCAAGCAGAAAAGTTTCAAAACCACCTTCCTGCTCACTGCCTGCAAAGCTTTGCTGCCTTCCCACCGCCTGCTCATACGAGGAACCAGAGCACCGAAGGTCCTGAGCCCATGGTGCTGCCCGTGTCCATCTGAGGCTGATGAGAACAAGCAGACCAGTTTTCCTAACTACAACATCATGTAGTAAAAGCAGTTCTTCCTTTCCCCCCCCCCACACAGGGCTTTTTAAGTCTACAAGTCATGTTTTGCCTTAGGTAGGACTCACAATAAAAGCAGGGGAATTGGGTGCTGCCAGAGAATAATAGCAATTAGCCTGGGGGATTAGCGCGCTAATTGTTATTAGTTGTTAAAATTGTCTCATTCTGTATGTGGTAATAAATGATATTACTCTAGTGTTTAAAAAATATATATTAATATTAAAATTGACATATTTAGCGTAGGCCTCCAGGATGATTTATTTCTTTGCTAGTGCTGGTACGTGTAGAATACAGACTGTTTCGTGCTAGGGATCATCTGAGAGTTCAACATTTCTGGGTGCGGTGCTTGTTAATCCTTCCAGTAAAGAGCTGCAAGAATCCAGGTCTCGTAAGGCAAAGTGCAGCGAGCATCTTGTATGAGAATCTTTCTGTGTGTGTCCCACATCCTTCTGGGAAACCCATGTGCTTTAAAGTAACTCTTACTGATAGACAAGTTTCCTTGTGTTTCTCTTTAGTCGTCTTTGATTTTGCATCTGTTTTAAGTTAGATGTTTCATAACGCCTTTCTGATCGTGGCTGTTTACAAGCTGCTTTCTCCACTGCTTTGCTCGCAGGTGTTGCAGGGCGCTCAGCTGATAGCGGTTGCATCTGCGGAGCCTGCGTCAGGAGGTGTTGATGGATCCCCACTCCAAGGCAGCGATATCCAAGTCCAGTATGTGCAGCTCACACCAGTGACAGACCACTCTGCAACTAGTCAAGTATGTATGAGTGTGTATGTGTATGTATATACTATATATATCTATATATTTATCATTCAAAGTACTTACTTTGGTTGAAATGTCTGGCAGATGAGCTATATACCTATTCACAAATGCTGCAGTCCAAATAAGTTTGTGATCCTGTTTCCAAACTAAAAATGTAAAATCTTTTGCAGTAAGAAACATCATTTTCTTAAAGGCGTGAATGGTGTCAAATGAGTTTATGATCTTATTTCCAAACCGTAGAAAATAAAATAATAATGTATAATAGACAGAATTTTCCTAAAGGTATGAAATGGTCTTTGACTATTCCTGCTTCAATGTTTTTGCTCAGTGCCCCTAAGATAATAGTTATTTTGGCCATCGTTGTTTTTCTGCACCCTTGAAGGCTGGGAACCATGTTTACAGCACATGGAGAAAAACTTACTCGGAATCTCTCCAAAAAGTATTTTTCAGACTGAGGTTTCTTTTAAAAATGTTATTCCCTTTCTGACAGCAGTTTTCCAGCTATTTTGATCCACAGCCTGGATTTCCCACAGGAGCTGCAATGTTTGCAATTGTAAGTGAACACTTGATTGTCTCACTTAAGGTGGAGGAGGTGTATTTAAAAAAAAAAAAAAATCAGTTTGAACCGTCATGTATCAGAGCCTAGAAAAAGCTTCCTATCAGCTTGAAGCCATGTCTGGTGACAGTACGAGAATGCTGACTTAAAACAGTTGTCTGAAGTTTTTCTGAAGATGGTTACACATTCTTCCATGAGCCCAACTGCAGTGGGCTCCTTTTCTAGAGAATGCCTAGTGGTTTTGAAAAATACTTCTGCCTGCTAGCCAGCATATAATGCTATCCTCAACAATTTTAGAGTGGATTTTTGTCTGATACATTCCCAGTTCTGTAGAGAATTCTGATCTGGATGCAAACTTTTGGATATTCAGTCTCTCAAGGAAAAAAAAAATTGCAAAAGAAATCAAGGGAATCGTGCCCAAAGTTTCTGTGCACAAAACTAAGGTGCCGAGTGCTTCTTCCACGAGAAGGGTAATCCACAGGTCAGTTTGGTGTATGAAGTTAGAGCACATTAGCTATTCTAGTAGCAAATTACACCCTCAAACAAAAGATGCTGCTGCTTGCATATTGCTGAGTTGCCCCAGTCCATGCTGACTCCCTACATGGATGCTAGAAAGTGTTCTTCAGAAAAATGATGCTGCCTGCCAAAAAGGAGTAGGCTGCCTGGCACGTGAGCATGTGATACGCTAATCTCCTCGTGTAGGTGAGTCCTTAACAGTCACTTTTCCCCCTTACCTAGGTTTGTCTCTGTTACCAGTGTCCTCAAGCCTCCTCAGTAATTTATTCATAGTCAGTTGTGTTATCACACAGCCAGAGTGTTGCTGCAGGGGTTGTGCCTAATTTGCTCAAGTCCTCAAGTACCAAATCCATTGCTGGTCCCACACAATTAATAATGCACACAGGCATCAGCTAGCAAGGTGTTTCTCTCCTGACATGCTGCTATCCTCACCCCAGGCCTTGGAAATTCTCAAATTTAATGTCCATGGACTGGGTCTGTGCCTGTCCTCCCTCCTCGCCTCCCACCTCTGATGGGCAGGAGGTTAGGGTTGTAAACATCAGCATCCGTCTCCCACACAGCTGGCAGCCACCAAAGGAGCTACTTTTCTCTTCAGAGACACTTTGCACCGTGTTAGGTTTTAAAACCGTGGTTAACCACAGATTTATACAAAGCTGGAGAGAAACAGAAAAGGAATGTGAAATAAGAAGAGTATGAAAGGAAAAACAGACTAAAAATAAGTTTACCATAAATATTTCCTCAGTTTACACAAACTGAAAACCAAGGGTCTGTTAATGAATTGGAGAAACCAGCTTGGTATTTGCTTTACCCTGAGCTATATGAATAACCCAGTAGGGTTTTTGGCTGAAATAGTCGTACATCATTTTAGAAAGATCTTTTATCAGAAGGCAAAAGTCTTAAATGGATCTCTCAGGTTGTAGAAACGATTTTATCTGTTTTCATATGCTTCTTTGCCAAGGTACTGAGATGTTCTCAGTGATTTTGAATCTATTTATCAATTCATCCTTTGTAAAGAGGAGTTAATTATCTGCTTGAGTTGGATGCCATGCCCTATGCAAATTCCATGCTTGAAACACCACAAATATGAATTTTATTGAATGTCTGAAAACAAGACGCCAGTTTTCTCACCTCTTTTTCTTGAAAGCTCTGCCTGAAGGTAAAAGTGAGGCTATTTGAAATGAATCCCTTCTCTGACTTCAGCTGAAGCAGATAGTAATGCACACTTCAATTTAGTATATGAAGCATGATTTTTGCATTTGCAAATTAACTGTGGACAGAATTATTAATAGCTGGTATTCCAAAAGTCCCTTCGTGCCCTTAAAGCGCATATATAAACACAAGCTACAAATATAACAACATTTTTTTGCAGGCATACAATTGCAAATGCATATACAGAGACATAGTTTGAGACCAGATTTATTTTTCAAGACTTAGATTTAGCTTGGTTTTGTGTCTCAGTAGTATACTTGCTTATACCAACTTGCCGAATTTAGAAGTACAAAATGTGATGACAGCAGAGAATATTTGGATTAATTCTGTGCTCAAATTTCATATATTGGTGTTAGATTTCATTAGCTTTGGAAAAAGCACAACTCCAAACCTCAATTGTTCTTCTAATCTCTTTGGGCTGTCTTCTACTTCTGGCCTGAACTTTGGATAAATATTCAGTATTGCTGTTATGACTATTATTTGGGAATTATTTTACTTCAGTAAAGTTTCCTTCTAATAGGAAAGAAAACTTTGATGGCCACTTTAAAACTTACCTGCTAACAAATTTAGCAATCAGAATTACTAATTTATTGGGTGTGTAAATAAATGCCAAATTACCTATAAAGTTGAATAGGAAAAAATATTGTGCTGTGCAATTACTGGCAGCAAAGGAAAAAGAAGGGGCAAAAATTTCACAACAAAATCTTAGTTTAGAAGCAGTGCTTTACAACTTCGAACCTCCAACGTTTTTGTTTGAATAAATAAGTAGTGATGGTATAATAAAAGCTAAAGGACAGGAAATCCATCTGAGTTTCCATCCCTGTTTTTTTGGTGGTTCATCAGGTTTCAATACTAGGCTGAGAGCATAAAGCAGGGCTTCGGGCAAGACTTATTTGTAAAAAAAAGTATCTCCCCAGAAACACTTCTGTATCCAGGACGTTATATAAAGCATCGATTAGGTGAATTTATGGAGGGAAAATCCATCAAGGGCAGATCTCTGGAATCTGTGGGAGTGTGCAGGAAAATATCATTAAGTGCTTGCCCTTTTCTTGTAGTTTATCTATGCTCGTGGTATTGGCTGCTATCAGGGGAAGGATTATTGGGTGTGATGGACTTTATCCAAGCCAATACAGCTGTTCTTAAATGCTCTTCATTTTATAGCTGTACAGGAGGGACGTGCTCGATAATCCATTTTTTTGTACTCCGACTAACTTGGTTAAAAATACAGTTTGCTACGGGATTATACTTTCAAAGTACATGGCAATTTCATCCTTAATGAGACTTCCTCTTCAAGCTGTTTCATCGTCTTTAAATTCTTCCATGAGGACTGCTTTTGCTTGGAAAGCGAGTAGAATCTGAGGCCTCTAGGAAGAATTCTGAGGAAAAAAGTCAGTTTGGTAGCAGTATTCTCATTTCACACAGAGCAGGAGTGTACTGCAGGGGTAAGGTCAGCAGTTTGTTAGACCGTGTCCTCCACCAGCAGGGAAAATTACAAGCATGGGGCAAACAGATAATTGTACTGTCCTTCCCTACCACGGTTTTGTCACTCAGGGACTTCCTTCAGGCCTTTCTGTGAGTGCCCTGGATGGACTTTTCTTCCCTGGCACTGTTCAGCTCCAGCTTGTAGCCCCTGAGCTGCCAGCACGTGGGGTGTACTGGGAGAAGACCGTCCATGGCATCAGCACCTGTTGGGCAAGAAACAGCTTTCTTTTTGTTTCTTTTAGGAGGTGGTTCCTTTCCGAGAAGAGAATTTTAAATAACTTTTTCTATTTGCTCTCTCCGTGCAACTCGTGATTTTATAGGTCCTAATGATTTCATTATTTCAGCCCTCTTTTTTCCAGCCTGAAAGACATTGGTCTCCCTAGTCTTTGTACGAAGCCATTCTGTTCTTCTGGTCATTCTGGTGCCTTTTGAAGCACGTTCCCACTTCAACTCTGGCACAGAGTTGCTACTCATGCTGATTTTGTACTGGTACATACAGAAACTTTGTATTAGTATAATCCATTCGTGTTCCTTTGGCTGCGTCAGTGAAAAATATTTTGATATTGATTTCCTGATCTCGTGTTTCCTTTTGCAGGGCGCCGATACCCTTCAGTCAGCAATCCAACCAGAAATGCAGATAGAACACGGAGCAATCCAAATTCAAGTAAGAAAATTGCGACAAGCTGTGTGAACCGAGATGCCAGTGAACCCCAGCGGGAAGTTAAGAGCTGTAGTCCTCATGCAGCAACGGGAAAATGGAAATGCCTGGTAGACTACTGGTCACACCTCGTACATCTCCTGCAAGTCAGCAGGTTTCTGATGATCTGTTCGTGCTCACCTGGAATAAGTCAGACCCATTTACTGCAATTGGAGCTACATCACTGCAGCTGTTGAGAACGTGCCCTTCAGAAAAATTACACGGCCTGCTCTTAGGTATATTTAAAGAGGAAAAAAAAATGATAATTTTGGAAAGAGAACTAATTACGAAACAGTGAGACTAAATGTTTCATCCTGTCATTTCTTCTGTGAAATACGCCATTTGAATGTCTGCAAATATCTTAGGAAGTGTATTGCTGCTTTGCAATACTTGCTTTACCACATATAGAAGATCAAGAGCTCAAATATTTTTCACTGTTTAAACAGCTTTTTTATTTGCTATGGTGTTTATAACAAAAATGGAAAATATTTAAAAAAAAAAAGAAAGAAAAATCCCATAACTGCAAGTATTAGCAATTTGCTGTTGTTTTCTGTTCAGTGTAATGAAAAATGTATTTGCAGAAGACTAACAATTTTGTTTGTACTGTTGCTTAACTACTTTTCTAGGGGAAAATGCTTTTAAATGCTGTAATTATGCATTTCTAATGAAAAATAAATGTGTATTTATGAATAGTGCAGCTCTAAGTTGCTCTCTACTTTAGGAACGAGTACAGTTTGACCGGACTGTGGTGTAACAGTGTAGTTCTGAAGTATTTGAAGACAGATGCTATCTGGCAAGCCCTGCTGTCAACCGAGAAGTAAGATTAAGTCTGTAAGGAAGATATCAATCGTAGATAATGTTATTATCTGAATTTCCAGTACAAGGAAAATGTGATAGTTAAGCTTTTGAGTCTGCAAATCCTATTTTGTACGATGAATTTATGAAATCATTTTTTTAAACAAATGTGAACAATTCTTTTGAGCTCTCTCCATTTTAGTACTTCCTGTCATCTTTGTCCAGCTATTTGTGGCAATACCTCAGTTTGGAATTCAACCATAAAAAGCTGGGTTGCAAAACTCGTGATATCTGTCTTGTTATCCAACCTGCAACAGCAAGGTGAACGCCTCTCTCCATCGAAACTTATGGGAAATGTGATACTGATTTCAACAAAAAATGCCTTTTCAAATTTGCTAAGATAGCACGGAAAGGATACGTGTTTGCTAGAACCTGATTATCGTAATAATGCATGCATGCCTTAGAAAAGTATGAAATTCACTGGGGGAGGGGTTGTTTTGTGTTTGTTTTTTTCAACTGAGTTGATTTATGGTTATTGTCAATATATGGTTCATAATTTAATGTATTAATGAATGGGATGTAGCTATCCTACATGATTGAATTCAGGGTAACATTTTTCTGAAAAGAAGGGTTGTGCACACCCAATTTCTGGGAATGTTATCCCTGGTAAGTACTGCACTTTATGTAAATTCACACTTTTCTCTAGGGTATTTGTTGACGCACAAGTACAATGCAAACCGAACCACAGCTATTGAATACAATGTTTGTGACAGGCTAAGAATTTGGCTACGCTTCAGTTTCTTTTTTAATAGTGTTTCCCAGACTTGGGTGATGTTTAAAGAGTTTGGCATCCAAATGGAAGCCTAAAAATAAAGCAAGGCCTGTACATTTTAGCATGGTTGTTCAGTAATAATTTATCACTTGGAAATGACATTGAGAAAGGATTGAGATGGCAAATCTGCTGCATTGCTGCCCCATACCACTCTCTTGCTCCACTCATATTGGCTACAGTGCCTTTCCACACACACACACACTTAATAGAAGCTGTAGGGATATTTGTCTTTGTTTTGTGTTGTGATTGAGAATTTTCTTCTCTTTGCGTTTTCAGCTCACATAGAAGATCAAGCACATGAGGAACAGCTTGAGTTCAGGAGAGGTTTCCTTTAGCCGTTAGACTGATGCATGCTCAAGTCTCTTCTGCGAAAAAAAGTGATTGTAGATGCATGCCATGCAGTGAAATAGCACTCAGTAGATTTCAGGAGAAGGAAATCTTCACCAGTGTGGAATGGAGAGTGTACAAATCAATTGAAATCAATAGGTAAGGAGAGCACCTCGTTAAGGCCCTCCTGTGCATTCAGATGTTCAGACCGCATGTTCCTTGAGACATGAGTTTTTCTTGGTTATGTCAATGTTTACAGTAGTCTAAGCTGTGTCACACTGTTCATAGTTCAAAGAAAAGAGACTTCAACACCGAGCCAGGTATTCCTATGCGTAATCCCTGTCCCTGTTCTGGTTTTGTAGATTTTATGTTGTCAGAGGATTTATGGCTTTGTCCAGGGAGGAAATGACTTCTTTTCAAGAATGTTTTATGTGTTTTCTAGACATCACAGGTTGTGTCATGTACAAATAAGTCATTCCCAAGAAGAGTAATTCAGGACTGAATTCCTTTCTGGGACATCCTTGTAACTATGAAAAATCTGAGGTTCTGTGCCAGTGTGAAGAGCATGTTCATACGGAGATCTGTGTAACAAAAACACGCCAACAATAAGAAACCCTAAAAGTATTTAAGACAAAGAGCGAAAGTCTTGCAGCAGCAGTGAGGGTTTTTCTTGGCTCTCCATTCCCTGAATCAGTGCTGGGTCGCCATGGAGGTAGTTCTGCCCATGAAGACTGTTTGACCATTCTGGTAGGTCAGCTAGAAATGAGTTCTCATTGTGTCTCCTTTTGTTATTCACAGCCTCTGCTGCTTTTAACCATTTTCTTTTTTTTTTTTTTTTCTTTTCTCATACTACTTCTGTTCAGAAGGCAGCTAGTGATGAACACATGACCACAAGTCTTCAGGAGGACATTTCTTGTAAGGTTAGAGTACAATCAGCTGGGTAGTTTAATTCTAATTCATCTTGTGACCTGTACAATGCTATTTTGATGGGTTTTGTTTAGTGTAATGGTGCTTAGGCATGCAGCCTCTGGGGGAAGAGAGCCTCTGGTTACCCTGGTGGTCCCATTGGTTATTTTCCATATTAAGCTCACTCTCACCTGTACCTCATCATTTATCTTGATGTACTAAAGTTCCCAGCGTGTAGGTTGTGGCTGCATGTGCAGTACAGTACCACTGCAATCATCTTTCAGATCTGTTCAACTTGAATCCCACGTAAAAGAGGGAGCATCCACCTTTTTTTATGGACTTCTGTGGTCCTGATCTAAAAATTAATCGAAGTGTTGTGTTTTGATGGGTTGTAGAACTAGAAAGTGGTCTAAAAAAAGTAAGGATGTGGGTTCTTTTCTTTTTTTTTTTCTTTCTTTTATTCCATGTTAATTTTACATGTTTTGTCTTTGCAAAAACAAAGCTATAAAAATGAGCACCCTTCTGTGACCCAAATAAACTGTAATGCCTTCATTAGGCATATTTTTAGGCATTGCAGTGTTGATGGTTTGCCTACAAAGCACAGAATGCTGGCCAAGACGTTGTTCTAGTGCTTGTCTCCATCGTGGAGAACCTGGCATGTGTCTGGTATGCTCTGGTGGCTGTGTACTTTATTATTGGCTTCAGAGAACTGCTCTGGAGTTTCATGTTAGAAAATACAGTGAGGAAACCAATATCTAAAGAAAGAAGAATTGCTGTAGAATCTCACTTTGCACAACCTTCTATTGGTAATCAGTTTTCCTTCTGAATTCCTAATTACCTAGACATTGAAAAATTTGGAGCCATAGCTATAACTCAGCAAAAACTGTTTCCCATTATACGAAGTAAGACGGTTTCTTTCACCCGCTGCAGTCCCAGAGCACTTCTGTAAGCCCTGCTGATTTAGATGAGTACTCGACAGTCAAACCTCATTTCCTTGAATGAAGCCAGGAATAAGAAAGTCAATCAGTTAGAGTGGTGTTTGGGGTAAACTGAGATTGCTCTTTTATGTGCTGCTACGAACTGACGTACTTAATTTCTTTTAATTTCCTTGTTTTTAAAACAAGGTTTGATGTATTTAGAGCTTGTGTTATACCCCATAAAAGTATGACTAACTGCCCAGCAAGTGGAGGCAGGAGCCCATGGAAGGGTGGTGAGGAGTTGTACAGAGCTGGAATTAAGACAAAGTGGGCAGGACATGATGGGAAACACAGGGCAAGGGGTTAACACTCATCCTCCTTCAAAAGGGGCTGGGGGACTTCTAATCGAGTCTTCTGTAGTGTGATAAACGGGATGAAAACCTCTTTTTTTCCACATCTACAGCTTCACATGGGAAGTTTCATTCAAGAGCGTATGTCTCCTTTCTTGGCCTTTTTGCCGTTTTATTAAACTTAAGTGAATTCTAGTTTTGAAAGTTTTCTCAATTTTTTTTTTTTATTAAAAACTTGTAAAATTTATATTTGGCAAAGGAAAAACGTCCTTTAATTAAGCTTTATAAAATTTTATATTTGGTGCAAAAAATGACATTTTTAGGATTTTTTTTCATCAGTATGAGTATTTTCATTTAACTAACAGACAGGGAAAAGTTCTGTGCTTCTGCTAGTCCCTCAGGTTAATCTGTGGTTTTGAATGTGTAAGCAAACTATCCAGTTTCATCTCTGTCCAATAGCTTGGGTTGAGCATGAGTTAATGTGTGCTATATAATCTTCCAGTAAACATTTTTTTTTCCAGATTTTTCATACTATTTAATGGAAACTTTATCCAGTTCTGAAACAGATTGACAAAAACCTGGATGGAAAGCTAACTTAGCCTGACATCTCTCCATCCTACACTGTGATGCCAGCTCTAAGGACACTCTGTTCATTGTCCCTCACTGCGCTGCGGATATTTATGGTATTTAATTTGAAAACAGTAAAACCCCCTGTTGTCCACACTGATTCTCTGCTTTCCTTAAGGAGTCTTTGGTATTTGTGTTCAAGATGCACTGGGGTTTGCTTGCCAAACTGTTCAGTGCATTAAATCAGGATCTGAGAATTAAAGCAAGCCAAATGAAATAAAAGGGACTTTACTCTTACGTTTTTATCACAGGGAAAATAAATCTCCTGTATGTATATTTAAATGATTTTAATTTTTAATTGCTAAACTATTTATTACATTTGCCATCGGCTTTCTTGGTAAAGCAGGGAAAAATGGGGAGCTGGCCAACACCATTTGACTATGAAAAAAGGGTATTTAGCTGGCTTTGTGTGGGTGGGTGTGTGTCTATGTGTGAAATATGTGTGTATACACTCATATCTATCTGGGTATCTTGTTGCTTGAGTTTGCCAGGGGTTGGCTCACCTCTTACTACTTTAGGGCTAAAAGTTCCCTCTCCCCTCTTTCCACTTTGTTTTGATGTTTTTTATTTCCCCCACTTCTACAGCATTTATTTTTAATCTCAAGAAGAAAAATATTCATTTTGCTACGTCGATCATACCAGAGGAGGTTGGCCAGCTACCTTCAATTAAAAAATAATAAATCATACACCCTCAGGCTGCTGGATTCTGTACTGCATTTAACAGAAAAAGCAGTTGTAGGCATTACCTTGTGCACAGAGAAGTAGCTCCCTTCCTTGCCTTATTTCAGAGGTTAAAAAAAAAAAAGCCACAATTGGAAATTGTGACTGCCATTAATTATTAACATTTTCAGTTTAATAACCAGATTTTGCCCTGGTGTTCCCAAGTGGTAGCAAAGTCAAAACTTCCTTTGCAGGCACTCAGGTTAATACCAAGTAGGTGGTACCGTGGGCTGCACAGAGAGCTCAGCTCAAACTTCCAGCCTAGGCTAAACATCAACTAAACTTGCCATTTAGTGCCTTTTTTTCCCCAAATGCATGCCTCCATCTCTCTGCCCCGTGTCCTAACCCTCCTGGGGCAGCTCTTCTCTAGCGATCGGCGGCTGGGATGATTTAATCGGACACAAACGAGGCTTCTAAAGCAGAGCGAGTTTACTTCTGCTTCCTGTCCCTGCGCGTTTGAAACTGTGCTCTCTCGTTGGGGCCATCTGCCTTGCATAATTGCTGTTATTTAACAGCAATTTTATTACTCAATCCTACTTCAACTCTCTTAATCCCCCTGCTCTAATGGGCTCCCAGCTCTCTTCAGCAAAACCAGAAGAAAAACAAAAAAGCCCAAATGTTCATAAAAGAGGAGGTGGGAGGAATCAAGGAACAGCTGAGAAACGAACTGTTTGTTGATCTGGTTTGAATCCCTTCCTCCCTTTCCATTCATCCAGGTTGTCTTTCAGCAGCTAAACGTGCAGCCCAGGGAGGTGGTCCACAGAGAGAAGTCCTTCATTTTTTTGAAATACAGTATTGACCAAAAATCCTCCTTTTATCGCAGGAACAGCAGCTTTGGAGGTAGGCAGGGGCAGGGTGGAGGGTAGAAGGAGACTTACAAGTTCTGCTTTTGTTTTTTTCTCTTTTAATTTTTGTAATTTGTGTAAGCCTTTTGCCTTGTTTCTAAACATCTTACTATGCCTTACTGTGTTATTAAATAGCTTGTAAGCATCTGAGGGTATTCCATCGGTTTTGGGCTCTGCCTGAAATTCTTTTGTGTTTCATTAAGCTGACTTTTATAATGAAACTTGGAGCTCCTCTAGCACTTTTCTTCTCGGAATTTCAGACATCCAGCAAAAAGAAGAGTGCATCTCCCCACTTTCCACCTCTGACATTTTCATTCATTTTGATGCAGATTTCTTCTGTGTCAAAAGTCCTTAGTTTTTGTAGCTCCT